TTGTCTTTGTCTCTTTCCACCTTTAAAACATTACGCCACACACAAAACATCTTCTGATAAAAACTTGAAATTGCAGACAAATCCATATCTTCCAATCTCATTAAAAACAGGTGTTTATCTAATCCAAGTCCACCTGCCCTTTGTAAAATGGCACATGTTGTGGGTGTCCATAACAACTCTTTGTGATAAAGAAATCTTTTTACTGCTTGTAGCCTAAAAGCTTGAATGCGAGATTTAACATCCACTAGTCCATGACCTCCCTCGCACACTGGTAAAAAAATGACTGATGCCCGGACCCAGTGTTCACCACTCCAAAAAAAATTGACCAGCTTCCTTTGTATTTCACATATAATATCTTCCGGTGGATCCAAAACTATACATCTGTGCCACAGTGTAGAGGCTACCAGATTATTGGCAACTAAAACTCTCCCCCTGTATGACAACTGTGGTAATAGCGGTTCCCATTTAGACAATCGGGCAGATACCTTATCCAGCATACCCTCCCAATTCTTCATTCGATATTTATCACTACCAATAAAAACTCCTAAAACTTTAATCCCATCCTTACCCCATTTCAAACCCCCTGGTAACTTTGGATATCCCACCTCATTCCACTGACCCATAATATACCCCTCACTTTTCTCCCAATTTACTTTGGCTGAAGATGCTTTTTCATAAGTTCTAATATTCTTATTTAAACTTCTAATGTCTTCCTGCCCGGTGATAAATACTGTGATATCGTCTGCATAAGCAGATAAGACCTGTTTTACAATTTCACCTCCATTTTTATATACAACACCATTTAAATCTTTCCTAAGTTTGAGTAAAAGAGGTTCAATCATTAGACTATATAGCTGTCCAGACAATGGGCAGCCTTGTCTGATTCCTCTTCCAATAGGTACTTGTGCACTCAAAGCCCCACCAGCCTTAACCATTATAAATACATTTGAATACAACAGTTTTATATATGATAAAAATTCTTCACCAAACCCAAAGTTTTTTAAAACATTAAAAAGATAGCCATGGTCCACTCTATCGAAAGCTTTTTCTTGATCTAATGATAAAACACCAAGATCCTTACTTGTAAGATGACTAAAATCAACTACATCTCGTAACATAAAAATGTTGTCAATAATTGACCTATCTGGGACACAATATGTTTGATCATTCTCAATCAGGAATTGTAAACAATGCATAATTCTATTTGCTAGACATTTTGACAAAATTTTGTAGTCCAAACATAATAATGACACAGGTCTCCAGTTTTTCAATAAACATAAATCCCCTTTTTTTGGTAACAATGAGAGAACTGCACGTCGACAACTCAAAGGAAGCAACTTTTCTTTAAAACAGCTTAAAAATACTTCATATAAATCCATTCCGATTTCATTCCAAAATTGTCGATAAAATTCAACCGGCAGTCCATCTATTCCCGGAGACCGTCCATTAGACAATTGCTGCATTGCCTCAGTTAGTTCTTTGAAAGTAATATCTCTGTCCAACAACTTTTTTTGTTCATCTGGTAATCTTGGCAAGTTCTCGAGTAGTTCTTCCGCACTTTTAATGTCACATGGTTCCTTACTATATAATGTTCTATAAAAATCAACAGCCATCTTTCGTATTTCCAATGTATCAGAAGTAATAGTCCCATTTTCCCGGCGCAGATGATGTATCTGTTTCTGTTGAGCACTTTTTTTTTCTAAGTTGAAAAAGTAAGAACTGGGAGCATCCATGTCTTTAATGGAACAAAATTTTGCTCTTATCATTGCTCCTTTTGCCCGTTCGTACAAGAAAGATCCAAGTTCTGCTTTTTTCTTTTTCAAAAAGTCTTTCTGCACATTTCCAGGATTATCCATAAGTTCTTTTTCAAGCTGCACAATGTCTTTTTCCAGTCTTTGTATTGTTGTCTTAATTTGTAAGGAAGAGTTTAAAGTATAGTTCTGGCAAAAAACTCTTATCTGTGCTTTGCCCACCTCCCACCATTGACTAAGGCTTTCAAAAGAATCCTTTTTCATTTTCCATTCATTCCAAAATAATATAAATCTCTCACAAAACAAAACATCTTGTAGTAATTTTGTATTAAAATGCCAATAATATGCACATCTTGACGTTTTTGTCATATTAAGTTCTAAACCAATCATATGATGATCCGAAAAAGCAGTAGGGGAAATAAAAGCCTTTATAACCCTGTTGTTCCATATTTGTCCCACATAAAAACGATCCAATCTTGCACCATGTACCATATTATCTGTCACTTTAACCCATGTATACTGTCTTTCCTCTTTATTTCTTAATCTCCATATGTCTACTAACCCATTTTTCTTCATTATTCTGGATAAAACTAAACTAGATTGATTATGAGGTTCTTCACCATTTCTATCAACAGTAAAATCTGTTGTACAGTTCCAATCTCCACCTAAAACAATACAAACACCTTCTTCTACTCCTTTTAAAAACTCATTTAATTTCATAAAAAAACTCACCCTTTCCGACCCATTATTTGGGGCATAAACATTAATAAAACCAAACAAAAAGCCTTCAATTTCTATTTTTGTATACAAGATCCTACCTTTTTCAATTTCTTTTACTAATAATATATTAGCATTTAAATTTTTGGAAATTAATATTGCAACTCCTGCACTATTATTTGATCCATGACTCAAAAAAAGTTTTCCACCCCACCACATATCCCATTCTATTTCGTTATCACAATCAGAATGTGTTTCCTGTAAAAAGGCAACATTAATCTTTTTTAATTCTAGAAATTCTGAAATTACTGCCAACTTTTTCCTATCTCTACCCCCATTAATATTTAAGGAGCCTACCCTCAATTGCTCCATAAATAAATGAAAAAAAAGACAGGACAGAAACAGAGCCAGAAACCAAAAAAAGATAGACACCCTGTGCAGCCTATACATTTTTTACTTCTTTAATTTACGAGGTTTTCCTTTGCGCAGTTTTGTTAAATGCTTTCTCAACCGAAATCTCTTCTGCTTACTCAACTCATCAAGGCTTACTGTTTTCTGAAGCAACACAACCGAAGCAATAAATTTATCCACATCTGGGAAAAAATCCTCAACCTCAATCACTTTTCCAAAAGTTTCATCTAGAAAATCATTTATTTCCTGTAATGTATACAATTCTCCCATAACCTGGGGACCAAAATCTGAAATATCTGAACAAGCATCATCATCCATAGTCTCATTGTCATTATTCATTTCAAGACCTTGTGAATTTTCAAGTTGTTGCTCAATTTCTTTTTCTTCAGTCATTGTCTCTACACCTGCTCCACTACTTTCTGCCACAATCTCGTCATCATCATCATCATCATCATCATCATCGTGTCTCGCTATTTCTTCGACTGTATTGTTCTGGTTTATGGAAACCACAGGCCCGTCATCAGTTCTAACACTACCACTGTTACTATCAGCAACATCACCATCATGCGTTTCATTCACAACTCGGGGTTGTTCCTCCACTACATTTGTGTTAATATCACGGTCTCTGTCAACAGAATGCTGTTCTATATTTTCATCAGCCTGCACTTTATGAGGGCATTTGGCTTTTTTGTGTCCTAAATCTCCGCATTCAAAACACTTTAAACTTCCAGTGCTAGCGTACAGCAAAAAAGATTTCCCTTCATGCCACAGTCTAAATGAAACGTTCAGCTCTGGTTCATTCAGGAACATAAAAACTTGCCGTCTGAATGATAACACGTGCTTTAAAGCCTCATTTTTGCATCCAAGAGAAATCATTCTAATTGGACTAGCCAACTTTCCATAACTTGCAAGAGCTCGTTCAATTTCAGCATTCTTTATGAACGGTGGCACGTTTGATATCGTTACACGCGTTGTCGGCGTGACAAGCGGTGAAACAGTGATATAAGCGCCACTTACCTCAACACCCGTGCTTATCAAGTGATTCACCAAGTTTTCTTCCTTCACAAAAATAACGACTGCCTTATTCATGCGGGATGCAGAGCAGATATTTTCATATCCTATTTGCTCTCCGGCTGCCAACAGTACATCCTCCACGGTCACTCCAGGTTCAGCCATACACCTGACACCGTGGCGGAGAGATAGAGACGCCGCGCCCTCCGCAGGTGAGGAGGCCATCTCTTCTCTTCTCCGCCACACCAAAACTACAAACAATAACTTTTTACTTACGTCTTCAATCCACTTTACTTTCGTTTATCACTTTAATAAGAGAAAAAAGAAAGAAAAGGAGAGAAAATCAGACGCCCTCTCACCGTGTTCACCCTCGCACGCACCCGTACACTCCCAGCATGCACCGAGAGAGAGAGAGAGAGAGAGAGAGAGAGAGAGAGAGAGAGAGAGACACACACACACACACACACAGTGAACTCGTGTGGTCTGTTCTTGTAACTCACTTAAATGATCTACTGCAGGGGTGTCCAAACTCAGTCCTGGAGGGCCGCTGTTCTGCTGAATTTAGCTCCAACCCCAATCAGACACACCTGAACAGCTGATCACGCTCTCACTGGGCCATCTAGAAACTTCCCTGCAGGTGTGTTGAGGCAAGTTACAGCTAAACTGTGCAGGACACCCCTCTCTAATCTGACTCAGCTGATCCTGGATCTGTTGATCCTGGTCTCTCTGAGATCTGTGTGTGGTTGAGCTGATCTGAGATCTGTATGTGGATGAGCTGATCTGAGATCTGTGTGTGTGTGGTTGAGCTGATCTGAGATCTGTGTGTGTGTGGATGAGCTGATCTGAGATCTGTGTGTGGTTGAGCTGATCTGAGATCTGTGTGTGTGTGTGTGATCCGTCATGCGGAGGGATTGTGCTGAGGGTGATCTACAGTGCTGGACATGAAGCCGCTGGTCTCCGTCATGTTTCAGCTGTGTGTGCAGCCTGCAGACCTCATCACTAATCCCTCATACACTGCAGCGAGAGCACTGGGCCGGTCTGTCAGCACGCGCACGCGCACACACACACACGTCTGAACACAGAACAGTGTGTGCGCTCTTTTTTCAGTGTTAATTATTTCAGTGTAATTATCTATATCTACATATATAAAATGTGTGTGTGTGTGTGTGTGTGTGTGTGTGTGTAGTACAAACACTCTCTCTCTCTCTCTCTACAGTAGAGCTTTATATTCATGATGACAGAAGCATCTGTGTGTGTCCCTCAGTCTGCCCATACACCTGTGGTCAGAGCAGAGAGACAGAAACTAATCTGACTATGTGTGTGTGTGTGTGTGTTCACACTAACGGTCTGCTTGTCCCGCAGCTCCCCCCGGATTTCCTGCCCTCCCACAGTCGCGCTAAAGCTGCAGAGCGCGGCTTCAGCCGGAAGTGGAAACACGAACAGCGCCTCCAGTGGCCGCTCCTCCTCATTAACGTACTGCAGTGTCGCGCGCACGGAGGACACGTGACCGCGGACCTGCAGCTGCACGCTGATGCTCTTCAGAGGAACTGACAACACAAATAAACAACATGAACACATGCGCACACACACACACACACATCTATATCAGCAGAGACTATACCAGGAACATTCTTCTCGGACACGAGCCCGCAGCAGAGCGCCATACCTGAGGAAACAAGCACAGAGCACTGATATCAATGCGCGTGTGTGGGAAATGATGACCACACCTGAGCGTCACATGACCCACCACACCCTTAAACAACTACAGCGAGCTTCACAGCGCAGATGAACACGGAATAACCCTTCACACAGCGCGGATGAACACAAAATAACTCTTCACACAGCGGATGAATACTGAACAGCTCTCCTCAGCGGTGGCGCGTCGTCATCATGAGGATCTGCTGGGGTTGTTTATAAGAAAGTGAAAGTAAACAGAAACGCGTCTCTTACTCTCAGACAGTCCTCGGGGTCGACTCTGTGTGTGAAAAGGAGAATAACAGCAGCTCCTGAGGAAACTCCAGATGTGTGTGTGTCTGCTTGAATGAGATTTGAGGAGTGACGCCGAAACTGAAGTTCAGTCCAAGCGAAGGCGAGGCTCATGAATATTCAGTAATGACGCATGACGCTGGAGACCGCCCACCGCGTCAATCATTCTCGCAGATAAACCCAGTTTCAGTCTGATAAAGCTCAATGATGAGATCAGCCGCTCACTGGGTAAACCAGACCCTCTGATCAGACACGACAGAACACGATCAGCAGGCTCAGAGGTCACAGTAATGACTGTCCTCAGATCAGCCTGATAAACCACATGGAGAAATGCTGTGTGGAACACTGAACATGGCGTCTGTGGTTAATATTAATGCAGTATTACAGTAAACTGTAGCCAGTAACCTTGAAGACACTGAAGCACCTAAAGATGAACAGCAGATCTGCGAAAGCCAGACAACCGAGTCCGAGCTGCTGATGAGGTGATGGCGGACCGCTGAGCACTGCTGGACTGCAGATGACGGAGCTCAGACACACAGACAGAGACACACACACACACACTGAACAGAGAGACACACAGACACAGACACACACTGAACAGAGATACAGCAGCTCAATAACATCTGACCTCAACACACAGAGCAGTGTTTGCTCTCACCACTGATTACATACACACACACACACACACACACACGTCCAACTTTTTTATTCAGAATACACATTTACAGTAATACACTCGTGATTCAGCAGGACTCAAACATCATGGAGCGTCTGTCTGTCAGAGTCCAGCGACGGCACCAGAGTGTGGATCAGGAATCCTCCATGTTCTGCTGAAGATCTACACAGCCCATGATGGAGGACACACTCACAACACCAACACTCAGCAGCAGCTTCACCATCACAGGCCTGACATGAAGACGCCTGTGCAGGAGTGTGTGTGTGTGTGTGTGTGTGTGTGTGTGTGTGTGTGTGTGTGTGATGGTCAGTTCAGCCAGCTGGTGTTGAGCTGCGTCTGGTTCTTGATGCTCGTGTCCATCTTCAGCACTTCTCTGACCGCCATGGTGGCGTAGGTGGAGGACGGCAGAGAAAACTCCATCTTCAGCGCACAGTACTTCCCTTCTGCACACACACACGCACGCACGCACGCACGCACACACACACACACACACACACACACACACACACACACACACAGTGTTAGTGTGCTGACAGAAATGCAGTGTTCAGGCACTTGATCAGGGCGAGGACAAAAAAAAGAAATTAAATAAATAATTACACACATATATATATATATATTTGGGGGCGGCATGGTGGCTCAGAGTTCTCACAGCACTCAGGTCGCTGGTTTGATGGTTAGCAGTGTAATAATGACCCAAGTAATATTTAATCGCTGTATACAGTTCACTTCAACACGGAGACAGATCCACACACCGCCGGGTCAGTGCTCTTGTGTCCACAGAAGAGAACTCTCGCTGTCATTTAGTCGACTCTTTATTCCACGTGATCAATAAGCTAGTAGTCCAGCCTGAAAATATTTAGTCCAGTAGAAGCGAGCAGCCTCAAATACTTTAACATTTCACCCCGAGTCCAATCATCCATCACGAGACAGTTCATCACTCTCCCTTTCCTGGCTTTATTTATAATGTACATAGAGCACACGTGTTCATGACAATCGAGAGGCACACACATGTAAAACAGTTTCATGATCAGCGGCTTCCTCATGCCGCACAATACAGAACTACACAATATCCCTACACACAGCAGCCTAGGAGGTCTACAACTACACCCCTGAGTGACATGCGGAATGAAGCCCTTACTGCTCCTCGAGCACAACGATGAACACTGAGGAGGCAAAACATCAGCTCATCTGCTCCGATGACGATGAACCTCATGATGACCCCCCCCCCCCCCTACAAAAAAAAACCTTCGGATGTGCACAAATCACCGGGTTCACACCATTGAGCTCAGAAAATAGCAAATCACATCCCTGGGTGTTAGCTGCATACAGTGTGGATATAAACCAGCGCTGACTGTGCAGGATGACGAATGAGGACTGCTTTCAGCTTAAATACTGTGTGTGTGTGTGTGTGTGTGTGTGTGTGAGGAATGTTTGTCACAGATGCGCGTGACCTATGACCCCACTCTGCTAGAGACGTTACACAGTGACTGTCAAGACCAGATGAGGAAATAATGAAAGTGTGTGTGTGTGTGTTTGTGTGTGTGTTTGTGTGAGAGTGTGTTCATGTAGCACCTGAGGTGGTGTGTATGTGTGTGGCACCTGTCAGGTAGACTGGAGCCGGTTTGTTCTCCAGCTTCTCCAGGTCTGTGTGGACGAGTGGCACTCGAGGGTCATCATACTGGACCAGCTCCCTGTGGAGGACGAGATAATGAGGATCGAGATGACGAACAGACACTGATGAGGATCGGGATAACGAGCTCATTTACCAGCTGACGTCGCTGGGCCGGATCAGCACTCTCCTGTAGGCTCCAGCCAGAGAATAATCTCGGACTTTGTGCCGCATGTTATCGATGTCCAGGTCATCGGCGCTCAGCATCTCCCTGTATCCCTGACCCACTGCGGAGAAACACACACTTTACACACACTGCGAGAAACACACACTTTACACACACTGCGAGAAACACACACTTTACACACACTGCGAGAAACACACACTTTACACACACTGCGAGAAACACACACTTTACACACACTGCGAGAAACACACACTTTACACACACTGCGAGAAACACACACTTTACACACACTGCGAGAAACACACACTTTACACACACTGCGAGAAACACACGTCAGACAGTCCATCTCCACGCTGACAGGCTGGGTTACCCGGAATACCTTACCGCTGTGTGTGGGATAAATGACATCAAACCCCGGCAGGGGCATCACCACATCATGAATGGAGTGTTTCTGAGCCTCGTCTGCTGACAGAACATGAGCGGAGCCTGGAACACACAGAGAGAGCTCAGCCATCTTCATCATCATCACCCTCATCCTCCTCCTCTTCATCACTCACCCCCTCTGAGGATCAGGTCTCCCTCCACAGCTCGGAGCCCGTAAGCGTCCACACGTCTGCTGACCATACTGTTCCACACATAGCTCTGATAGCTGTGGATGTACATCAGCCTGTTGTTGCGAGGGATCTGAGGACAATCACACACACACACACACACACACACACACACACACACACACACACACACACACACACACACACACACAGCTGAACTCCAGCTAGACTGGGGTTGTGTTGTGTGTTAGAGAGTGTATAGTGACAGCCCAGTGTGTGTTGTTTCTCTCACCAGTGCGAATGCGGTGATGATGTTGTGTTTGCCGTGTTTGGCGAGTCCCCGCAGCAGCTGACCCTCCACACAGCGCTTCACCGGCAGCTTGCGGAGCGCCGCTGCGGGGTCCTGGGTTCGAGCCCACTCCTCTCGGCACTTCACCAGGTAACCCTTCTCCGCTGCATGCACACACACACACACACACATCAGTTCGTGAATGACACTCATCACAGCGCTCTACAGCTCCTACACACACATCTGCAAGTCTGACGCACTGCTCTGTGTTAAAGTCTGCAGTGTGTGTTTACGCCGCTAGAGGAGCAGTGTGGAGCTCTGCAGGGACTCCTCGGGTTAACATCTACATCTACTCTTACTGAAGGCCTTTAATCAAACACTCATTAATGTCACTGCTGGCTTCCCTAATGACGAGAACAGAGAAGCGGCTGACCTCCAGGACGAGGCTTCAGGATCAGATCCACCACCTCCTTCCAGTTGTTCTGCAGGATCGCCCTGGAGGAGAAGAAGAAGAGGAGGAGGAGGAGGAAAAGTTGAAAAGCTGCAAAACTTGTATATGTGTGTGTGTGTGTGTGTGTGTGTGTGTGTGTGTGTGTCTGACCTGCCGACGCGGTGTGTGGGCACGGCTGTGGTCCCGAATCGCTGCATGCCGTAGTAGTTGATGAACCCAGTGTTCTGCAGCGAGTTCATGGCCTGATCCACCTGCTGCTGAGAGCCGGAGATGTTCCTGCAGCGAGACACAACATACTGTAGATCTACAGCACATACTGCATCTATCCTCCGAGTACACAAAGCTAAAGCGCCTCAACCACACTCCAGTTCAAGCAGCAGCTGAAGTTCACTAGTTAGTGCTCATTTGAACAGATGTTTACAGCATATCGGTGTATAATAGAGCGGGTTTACAGCATATCGGTGTGTAATAGAGCGGGTTTACAGCATATCGGTGTATAATAGAGCGGGTTTACAGCATATCGGTGTGTAATAGAGCGGGTTTACAGCATATCGGTGTATAATAGAGCGGGTTTACAGCATATCGGTGTGTAATAGAGCTGGTTTACAGCATATCGGTGTGTAATAAAGCGGGTTTACAGCATATCGGTGTGTAATAGAGCGGGTTTACAGCATATCGGTGTGTAATAGAGCGGGTTTACAGCATATCGGTGTGTAATAGAGCGGGTTTACAGCATATCGGTGTAATATACAGTATAAACAGGCTGACCTGAGCACTACGGTGAAGTGATTTCCCTGCAGTTCTCCCAACTTCAGTGGATGCTTCTTATAGCAGAAGTTTCCCAGCTTTAGGTTCATCAGGCATTTGTTGAGGTGAGACAATCTCTCAGCGCTGATCCTGCAAACACACACACATTGATTTTTGAACTCACACACACACACACACGAATGTCAGACTGCTCACTTTAGCACGGCGATCTCCTGCACACTGATGGCTCTCTTGTCTTTGGTACCCATGTAGGAGAACATGTTGGGTCTGACCCTGCAGAAACAAAAACACACACACGGCTCAGTGTGGAACAGACAAATACACACACAGTGTAATGTGGGGTCAGCCTCAGGACGTTTGACCCACCTGAGGAACCGGGACAGGATGTTGATGGCCTCCATGGTGTCCTTGTTCTCTTTATAAAGCACAAAGTGGCAGAAACTCCCGCGGTTCTTCGGCCATGAATGCTTTCGAGGGGCTTTTGGTTGAGAGACGTGAAGACAGGACAGATCAGCTGAATGCAGAACAGCCTAAAACTACACTACACTGCACTCTTAATCATTTCATTTCACTTCCTCTCACAGAAAACACACATTTACCCTGTGAACAAAGCAACAACCACCTCAAGTCAGAAGGAAAGACACAAGCTGAGTTTACACTGATCTTACCTGCTGAAGGTCTGAGCTCTGTCCACAGGAGCACAGGAGGAGGAGCGATAGAGGAACAACAGAGCGATAGAGGAACAACAGAGCATTACAGAGCGATAGAAGAACAACAGCATTACAGAGCGATAGAGGAATAACAGCATTACAGAGCGATAGAGGAACAACAGAGCATTACAGAGCGATAGAAGAACAACAGAGTGATAGAGAAAAAACAGAGCATTACAGAGCGATAGAGAAAAAACAGAGCATTACAGAAAAAACAGAGCATTACAGAGCGATAGAGGAACAACAGAGCATTACAGAGCGATAGAAGAACAAGAGCATTAGAGCGATAGAAGAACAACAGAGCGATAGAGGGACAGAGCATTACAGAGTGATAAAGGAACGACAGCATTAGAGTGATAGAACCACAACAGAGCATTACAGATTGATAGAGGAAAAACAGCGATAGAGGGACAACAGAGCATTACAGAGCGATAGAAGAACAAGAGCATTAGAGCGATAGAAGAACAACAGAGCGATAGAGGGACAGAGCATTACAGAGTGATAAAGGAACAACAGCATTAGAGTGATAGAAGAACAACAGAGCATTACAGATTGATAGAGGAAAAACAGCGATAGAGGGACAACAGAGCATTACAGAGCGATAGAAGAACAAGAGCATTAGAGCGATAGAAGAACAACAGAGCGATAGAGGGACAGAGCATTACAGAGTGATAAAGGAACGACAGCATTAGAGTGATAGAAGAACAACAGCATTAAAGTGATAGAAGAACAACAGAGCGATAGAGGGACAGAGCATTACAGAGCGATAGAGGAACAACAGAGCATTACAGAGCGATAGAGGAACAACAGAGCATTACAGAGCGATAGAAGAACAACAGAGCGATAGAGAAAAAACAGAGCATTACAGAGCGATAAAAGAACAAGAGCATTAGAGCGATAGAAGAACAACAGAGCGATAGAGGGACAGAGCATTTCAGAGCGATAGAGGAACAACAGAGCATTACAGAGCGATAGAGGGACAACAGAGCATTATAGAGCGATAGAGGAACAACAGAGCATTACAGAGCGATAGAGGGACAACAGAGCATTATAGAGCGATAGAGGAACAACAGAGCATTACAGAGAGATAGGAGGGGGCAAGGAGCAGAAGTGGAGAAGCACAGATCAGGAATGAGAGGCAGCCACTCATGCAAGTCATTATTAGGTCAAAGGGCATTCAGGGGACAAACACACACACGCACACACACACACACACACACACACAAACACACACACACAGTACCTGCCAGCGCTGTCTTGCCGGCCGCGTGATACGCCACAATTACCCTCTGCCCGTCGCGCTCCTCCGTCTTGGTCTCCAGGCCGGGAAACAGAGTCTTCACCGCTCTGTGCAGGAGTGTGCGCTGCTCCTTCGAGTCCTCCTGCACCTGAAACACACACACACGCACATATACAGCGGTGAAGAGCGAGTCCTGTTTCCCAGCATGCAGTGTGTCTGCTGAAGCCTCACCTGGATGAACACCTGTCCCTCTTTATTCCTGAAGAGCTGCAGGTCCTCCAGCTGCTGTTTCTGCTCCTCAGAGAGAGTCTGTGCCTCTGCGGAGCTGCTCTCACTCGGGTCCTGTGGCGCACACACACACACACACAGACACACACAAGGAAAACACACAGTCAGTCGGGCGTCTCCTGAAAGCCGTGATTCACTGAGATCTTCACACCCTGCTGTGAGAGAGAGATCAGCGTCAGTCTGCTCCTGCAGATCAATGATGGAGGAACAGCAGACGCTCCGCAGCAGCAGCAGGAGAGCAGGAGCCGTCTGACCTGGGCAACTCCTCCAAACCAACAACGTCCGTGTTGGATCCTACACAGACCAGCTGACTGAAGCACTCGTGCTCAGGAGTTTCTGAAGCTGTTCTTAACAGAGACCCGATTCACAGCTGCTGTTTCTGTCAGAGACACTAGAGGGAGCCGCATCTGCTCCATCCTGCAGTGTCTGTGCGAGATTAAATCTGATCATTTTACAGCACAGGAACAGAACCACTGCTGAGAGTCTACAGGACCTGCTGCTGCCGCCCTCAGTGCGAGCTCTCGGTTCCGCCCAGACTCATCAGCGCTAGCAAGTCGATTAATCAGAGCGTGCGCTACGCGTCGTTGTGACATGCAGTAACAGATTTCTGAGAGGAGGGCGTCAGCGACGGCCTCGGCGTGGGTTACGCGTCCAGTCGAACGCCGCGCTGTAGCTGACCCGTGCGCTTGATGCAGAAGTGTCAATCAGCCTTCACAGGAAGCGCCGGTCTCTGATGAATCCGAGCGTTATCAGTGTGAGTCCGGTGATGAAGAGGCATCAGATCAACAGTACACTGAGCGGTTCCACAGGGCTCGGTTACTCTACATTATTACTAAAGTCAGAGCAAACTGAACTCTCGCTTATTGGACCCAAACATACACACACACACACACCCTGAACACACTAACATGCCAAAATACACACATACACACACCAACACGCTGAACACACACACCAACACACACACCAATACGCTGAACACACACATACACACACTAACATGCCGAAATACACACATACACACCCTGAACACACAAACACACACACCCCTCACACACCAACACCCCGAACACACACACCAACACGCTGAACACACCAACACACACACCAACACGCTGAACACACCAACACACACACCAACACGCTGAACACACTAAGGCGTGATGGATGTTCAGCTCAGTCCTGGTCTTCAGTGATGTGGGCTGGTGTGTGTGTGTGTGTGTGTGTGTGTGTGTGTGCGTGTGTGTGCGTGTGTGTGTGTGTGTGTGTGTGTGTGTGAAACACACCAGTCTGTCCTGCTCCTCAGCTGGAACACACAGATCATCCAGACGCACCATCCGGCCCTCCTTATTGATCTCGTGTACCACAAAGTCTGAATACCTGCATACAGAAAACACCTGTTCACACACACACATGCGCACGGCCACGCGCACACGCACGCACGCACGCACACACACACACACACACACACACACACACACAGACAGCACACACACTCACCTCTCCTTCAGGATGCCGCTGAAGCCGGTGTGTTCGCTGATGAATCTGTGTATGCCCACATCTGCTTCAGTGAGGCCGTGCTTCATCATGTCAGCGAAGCTCTCCTCCTCCTCCTCTGGCTCCTCCTCCTCCTGTGGCTCCTCCTCCTCATCCTCTTGTGGCTCCTCCTCCACCCTGATCCTCTTGGCGCTGTGCTGCTCTTCATCAGGGCAGGAGCGCTTCTCTGAGCCCAGAGTCACTGAGGCCGCGGTGTCCTCCATCAGCCTGACACACACACACACACACACACACACACAATCGTCAGTACATAGCGTGCACACACACACACATACGACCATTGGTGTGTGTGTGTGTGTGTGTGTAAATATATACACACACATGACCATCAGTGTATACACACATACACACACACACACACACAAACACGACCATCATTATATACATATGTACAAACACACCATCAGTATATACACTTATACATACATACACACACACACACGACCATCAGTTTATGTAAACACACACACACAGAGACACACACACACACACACACACACACACACACACACACGACCATCAGTTTATGTAAACACACACACACACACACACACACGACCATCAGTTTATGTAAACACACACACACACACACACCTGTTTTCTGAGCGCTACACAGACACAGTAGAGCCGATCACCAGTCGCTTCTTCCCGGACAGCAAACGCGCGCTTTACCCGCTGCAGAGCTCAGAGCGGTGATGAAGATGAAGATGATGAAGAGTTTACCGTGAAATCCGCGCCGAGCCGCTCCGTGAACATCCACACGTGCGACGGTCACATACCCCGGAAACAAACTCTGCCCGAAGGCCCGCCCCCTGCCGAACGGCATTGGCTTACACTGCTGTCAATCATACCCCACAGCAAATGGGATTGCGCGTTCAGATCTGGCAGCGTGAGATGCACACAGCAGAGCTCCAGAGGAGAGGAAGAAGAGCGGAGATATGGATGAAGACACCTCCTCTGAGAGAGATGAAGATGCAGATACGCTGTATTCCACTGTGAGCTTATGAAGGGCTTCAGACCCCGCAGCTCCTCCTCTCTGTGCTGCGTAGATATATACATGAGACGTCGCCTACCCTGTTGTTGTCTATCGGAAGGAATGCGTCAATAGAGCCGCCATTTTAGTACAGGGTAGCGCTGAATGCGGGACCAAGCTGCAGTGGAGGACAGTGGCCATCCAAAGCGATATACACACATGCACACATATATATCTATGATCGGGAGTTTTCTCGGTGGTCAGTATGCAATTTTTATTACGAAACTTATACTTTTACATCACTTTTCTACATTGATGGACAGTGACCGCACAGACATTCCTGACAAAAAGCTTGTGTTGGAGTGTGTGGAAATGCACTGTCCTCCCTCCCTGTTACATTTGATTTAATTTATGTCCTGAAGCACACCTCCTCTCCTGCTTTCACTCCTCATACTGACGGGGGGAGCGATTCGTTTGTGAATGATTCTCCGTTATGATCGACTCCTCCACTAGCCGACAGTAAAGCAGGCTTCTGGCAGCGCAGCATTGGTTAGGTCACGTTATGTTTTACAAAGATGTGTTTTGTTTTCGTTTGTGTGTAAATCTAAATAAATAAACATATGTAATGTTCTTTATGACTTTTTTTAATTATCAACGAAAATACAAAAAAGGTATTCAACAAATCCAGATATAAACCAAGATAGAGAATAAAGTGTAATGTGTCAGTCTCATCCAATCAGCATTCAGCTGTGTCGTCAGCCAGTCGTTTCCCATAATTTTCTAGAGACCAGAACATGTGTTTAACCCAGACTGATGCGCTGGGTCAGTGTCCCTCTACAGACACACTGACCAATCAGAGCACGGAGAGACACAGCGCTGAATAAAGTTTATCAATATTATTGTTATCATGTTAATACATTATATTGTCATTTTAAACAGAATACACACAGTAGAATACATCCACATGATGAATATTCATAAATGTGTTTGTATTCTTGTTTTTATTATGTAATATTATAAATTATTATATCATGTTAACGCCCACTCATCAGTGCCGGCTTCCATCCAATCAGTGAGGCTGACGGCGCGGACTTCAACATGATGCGTCATTAATAATCATGAGCGCGATTGGGCGTGCGCGCTCACGCTAAGCGCCGGTCGCGCGCAGGAGATTCCGGCTAGGGACCATCATCATGAGCTCTAGAAAGGGTGAGTAACAGCAGACCCTATCTAGTGCACACTACACCGCCCAGCGCAGTTTCATTCATACACACAGAGCAACTCGTGTGTGTGTGTGTGTGTGTGTGTGTGTGTGTGTGTGTGTGCGCGCGCGCTCCTGTCACTGATGTGTGTGTCTCTGATGTTCTGTGTGGCGGCTCCCGGTTCCCGGTTCTCCAGTGTTGGCCATTCAGGCGCGGAAGAGGAGGCCGAGAGGAAAAAAGGAGAAGACGGTTCCCCATCGCAGGTCAGCAGTCCGCGTGCGCGTGTGTGTCTGTGTGTATGTGTCTGTGTGTATATGCCTGTGTGTGTCCGCGCATAGAGCAGCAAGTCAGTTACTATGGCAACGGCGGCGGATCGGGGACGCGCGACTACTTCCTCGTGTTTGCGCGTGGCAGAACTGTTGCGTAACCGTGTTGACAATCGATCAGCTGTGTGTGTGTGTGTGTGTGTGTGTGTGTGTGTGTGTGTGTATAATGTGATGCTTATGACACTAATCATAATACAGCAGCTTCTGTAATAACACACTCCTGCTGTCCTCATTCCTCCACTATCAAACCGCACACACTCCTCTGAGGCCCACCACACACACACACACACACACACACACACACACACACACAATACTAATATATATATATATATATATATATATATATATATATATATATATACAGTTCAGCCAGTGTGCCAGCGCTGAGTGCGGTGATGTGCTGCGCTGCTTCCCCTCAGTGATCAGTGCTCATCCTCCGTCTGAGAGGGACAGCGGCGCTCAGACAGTAACTCTGTGATCATCATCTGGATGTTTGCAGAAGAATAACGACACTGAGGGAGGAATATTAAACTGATGAACACGACTGAGGCCCGCTGCGCTGTCAGGCCGCTTCAACAGCCGCGAGCTGCACATCTGCAGACTAACCTGGACTAACTGTACCCTGCTGAAGATGAGGAATGCTGAAGAACTGTGTGTGTGTGTGCGTGTGTGTGTCTATACCTCATTATGTGTGTCTGTGCCGTTTCAGGCCAGCAGGTGGCGCCAGTCGCCTGCAGATTCCTTATCAGGACACTGAACACAAATGAAGCACAGCCCTGTCCTCTAGAGCCACACACACACACACACACACACACACACACACACACACGGAAGCAGTGTCCTCTTTCTCTGCAGCTGTAGTTTAGGTGGTTATTTTAAAGTAATATGCAGGCAGTCATTCTGGTTGGCAGTTTCAGCATTGTCAAAGTAATACAAACAGCCAATCAAATCAAAGTAGGTGTGGTTTGCCCTTCACTGATTGGAGAATGAAGGTGTGGGTGTTTACAAACAGGTTTCTGAATCATGCAGTGAAGAACACCCCCCCACCCCAGCGGTCACTATGGTGATGGCCAATCAGCTATTACACTGAGAAACGCCCCTCTGTTGTGGCCACGCCCACTGCTGTAGCGTCCTGCAGAGCTGTAATCAGGAGTGTGTGTAGATACACTTCACCACACACGGTCATGAGAAACACAAGCAACACTACTCACCGTCCTCATTCAACACCAAACACACAGTCATGAACCCGAGCCCGAGTCAGAGAAGGGTTCGGCCAGTGTGGAGAGCGCAAATACGAGAGCAGTGATTTCCAGATGTGCTGTGACGTGTGTTTGACAGTATGAACACAGAATATCTGCTGTTGAGCTGCTCATCTTCAGCTCATGTGTGAATCTCCATCCCCTGCTGTCAGTCAGAGCTCAACACACTGCAGAAACAGAGACATCCTCATCAGGGTGATGCTGCGTTCACAGCAGATGTGCATGAAGCATCAAGCGTGAGGGATTTACATGTTAATGCACAGACGTGAGTAGTCCTCCTGCGGCGCGAGCGGAGCGTGTTGTGCGATTGCTGCGCTTCATGTGTGTTTCGTGTCAATCGCTCGAGTGGTAAAACCTGAACTTCAGTGGACGGTCACACCGCGTTAACTAATCGGGAGCTTGCTCTTGTAGGTGCGTGATTATGATGTAGCGCCTGTTGTTGGTGTCCCGGGGGGAAATCCTGCTGTCGACACCGGACTACAGCTCATCACACTGGGCTGGGCTGGGTCTGCAGCACCGCTGAGCCTCCGTCGTCAGTGGCGTAGCGTAAGATGCGGAGGCCCCCTGCAGGGATCACTGACGGGGCCCCAAGTTGGGGGGAAACGATCACAAATTGAGGAGCGTGCAAGGGAGGCGGGGTGGAGCGACAGCGCGGGTAAGCCTTCACAAACTGAGGAGCAATCACAAACCGAAAGCGGCGAGAGCGCCAAAGTAGCCAGAAGTCAGTCATTTTTAACCGGCGGCGAGGAACAGCGCCACCTGTGAACTTTGGTTCCGACCACAGTTGTTCCCAAGAGTTTGATTATTGCGGTTGCCAGATTCTCAATTATTGAAAATCGAGCCGATGTGGGGCCGCCTAATCACGCGGGCCCCCTGCGGTGTGTGCCCTGCGGGCCCGTCCGCTACGCCACTGTCCGTCATCCAGCAGTCTCTGGAGGAGCTGATGAGCTCAGAGCTGCTGCACCTCTGAACGGGGCTAGTGGACTCAGACACGGCTCCGAATGAACCGGCGCTGTTCATCAGCCCTCACACATCACATGACTACAGCTGCTGTCTCATGACCAGGACCCGACACGACTGAAGCGAGAACACGCAAATCTTCACGTGACCATTTACACGCCAACAGCACGGTTCATACAGCGTCTGCCGTGAACACAGCATTAGGCAGAGCGCCGCTACTCCTACAGGAGGAGCTCAGCACGGTGTGTGTGTGTGTGTGTGTGTGTGGGACTTAAACCTGAATGCACACAGACTCATGGGGACTTGTGTCACTGTGGGGACGTGAGCAGAGGGCTCATAACCCAGCCGGAGTGTGGAGATGAAGAAGAGCAGAGTGAGCTGTGAGCGTTGAGGAGAGAGAATACACTACAGAACACACACCACTACAGCTGAGTGTGTGTGTGTGTGTGTGTCTCTGTGTGTGTGTGTGTGTGTCAGAGCTGGCCACACACACTGATTCTTTCAAAGAGGACAAAAATCCAGCTCAGCTCCTGTGCCTTGCTCTCTTTCTGTCTGTCTCTCTCTGTGTGTGTGTGTGTGTGTGTGTGTAAGTAGGCCATGTAAAGATAGTTGCTTCAGGCAGCCTCAATTCTGGACCCTAAAATATCATCTGAAGCGTAGAGATGGAGCAGCGTCCCCGCAGCGGCGTCCTGTGTGTCTGAGTGTCCATGTGTGTGTGTTTGTCAATGTGTTTCCATGTGTGTGTGTGTGTGTGTGTGTGTGTGTGTAAGATGCGTCTGCATTTCTTCTCATCTTGCGTTGTTCGCGATCTGACGGTTGCCATGGCAGCGGCCGGTTTCCTCCAGTCTGTTGTGCTGCGCGTCACAGGAAGTGCAGAGGATCCTCCGACATCACAGCACTGCCATACACACTCCTGAAACTGTTCAGTACACACACACACACACACACACCGGTGTGTGTCTACAGTGACTCTTTTAAACACACAAGAGAAACACAGAAACCATCATGGGGTTATCATGCCTGTGTGTGTGTGTGTGTGTGTGTGTGTGTGTGTGTGTGTGTGTGTGTGTGT